ATAAGGTTAAAGATTATATTATCTTGTTTAAAATATTAATGGGTAATATAGTGATGAAGTAATTTTCAATTCTGTCCACACAGAGGATGGGGAGGCACGTGAGAGGGATGAAATTCGGCATGACAGACGGAAAGAGAGACAGCATGACCGGAATCTTTCCAGGGCAGCGCCTGATAAGAGGTAGGTGCTATTTGAGATAAATATGAATTATGAAGATTAGCCTTTGTGAACCTTTTAGAGAGGTGGTTTAGTCCACTAATACCAATTTTGCTTCTCTTAGTTTGATGACTTAATAAATCAGCGCTTATTTTCTTGCACTTAACTACTTACCTTGTCTTAGCAGAACTGATTATCCGTGGAAGTAATCTTTTCTTCCATCGCCTTGTAGAGTCAGCTAGAATTGAGAATGATGGGAATATAGAAAAGGAAATGCAGATCATGTTTGTGAAAAGAAGGTAATGGATAGGACTGTTCTGGTCTATTCTTTTCCAATTTCAAATGGTGAGACAAATTTATTACGTTCCTGTTCCTTTAGACAGGAAATAAACTGCAATACCTTTATTGAGGCCCTTTTACATGCAGAGCACTCTATGAAGTACAGTGGGGGAGAAAAGCAGGTTTTGTAAGAAGTGAAAATCGGCCGCTTCTCGTGAGCAATTTCACTTAAAGTTCAGAAAGGCAGAGCTATTATATAAAATTATGGATAAAAAAATTTTAATAAAATGAATTGGGGAAATTGACAAAGCACTTTGTTTAAAATTAAAATACAGTTGACATATAGACAAAGCACTCTTAATAGGTACAGACTTGTATAAAACAAATTTGAAATAAAGTAGGGATTGGTGAAGTTTGTGGTTCACTGAAGGCTTAGAACTGAAAGTGCTGAAAAGTTGAAGAAATGCTGTCCTATGGAAATAAATTTCTGAATGAGAGTTAAATGCAAATATAAAACATCTTATTTCCACGTGTACAGTTTTTAAGGCTGTCATTATCCTATGAACTGTTACAATTCACTTTTTTCCATTCATATCTTAAACATGAAAAAGAAGATTCCTGCTGGTGGTGGAATTTGTTGTTTAATGGCATATTTCATCTCTTAGGATATGTGAAGTCATGGAGAAGCAGAAAATCTGAATTTAGGTTCTGGTTAAATGTATAGTGAAGAAGAAAGAGGAATGAAGTAGGAAAGTGTGTAGTTAATATGCTTTTTGTCTGAAATTTCTAAGGTACAAAAATCAAAATAGCTCTGTACATAAATTGGACCATTTAAGTGGTTGAGAATTGATAGCATAGGAAAGCTGTAAACTTGTGATTTAGTGAAATCAGATTGTCTATAGAAGTCATTTTTAAGACCTGAGCTTCTAGCAAAATAAATGACGACGGTTACCATGGTTTCATTACAATGTAGATTGCATTACACACTGAAACAGCAGGGGAATTAATGTGAATGTCTAAAATCATAATGAGTAATCCAGTCATCGATGTGTTTTCCTCAAAATTCTAATAGGATAAAATTACTAAATGTGGTTATGTAAAAAAAAAACCTGATTCCAGCTTATTGAAAATGATTCTTGTGATACATTTAATTTGTATCCAGTCCTACCCATCCTCTTTTAATAATAGCAAATATAGATTATAGCAGTTTCATATCTCAGCATGTATTGTAAGGTGCTTGTTTATATTAAAGACTTCCGTGTCAAGAATGAATCTCTTAGCTATTCCTTCCAGCTAACAGGAGGGTCTAATTATAAAACCCTATTTCTTCCAGTAATCATCTAGCTGAAATGCTGTAAGGGCTGCCAGCATTATCAGGGAATTATGCATTATCAGGGAATATATGTTCGAGATATTAACAGGACATGTACATTTCCTTAGCTTTTGAGATTGCTTGTATTTTTAAAATTGAAATTCAGCTTGTCTGTGAAGAGTTTTCAGTTAGTAACATTGTATTTCAAAACAGGTCGAAACTGCAGAGAAATGAAAATCGAGATATCAGTGAGGTCATTGCCCTTGGTGTGCCCAATCCTCGGACTTCCAATGAAGTTCAGTATGACCAAAGGCTGTTCAACCAATCCAAGGTACAATAGAAATAGCTTTATCATGCTCTGGCTGGTGTTGCTTGATGGTTAGAGTGTTGCCTGCACACCAAAGGGCCAAAGGTTCAATTCCTGGCCAAGGGCACGTACCTGGATTGCAGGTTCAATCCCTGACCCTGGTTGAGGCATGTGCAGGAAGCAAGAAAATGATGTGTCTGTCTTTCTTGCATCAGTGTTTCTTTCTCTCTCTCTTACCCTCTCCCCCCTTGCCCTCTTCCTCCCTTCTTTCCACTCTCTAAAAATCAATGGAAAAAATATCGAGTAAGAGTTAACACCCACAAAAAACATAGTTATCTTAAATGTTGATATGAATACCAAATCTCTGGGAAAAGAAAATGAACATTTGGATCAACCTACGGCAGGTTTTTTACAATAGAAAAAAATTGTAAGTTGTATATTGTAACATAAGAAAGAAGTAACATGAAACAGCTCTGATTCTTACCTCTTACAATTAGCTATTATTTGAGACAATAGTAGAAAATGAAAAAAACTAGGTTATAAAACTTGGCTCTGGCCTAGTCAGGTGGCTCAGTTGGTTGGAGCATTGTCCCGTTCACCAAGAGTTTACGGGTTTGATCTTCCATTAGGCCCATATCAATGTTTCTCTTTCATTGGTTTCTCTCCCCTCCCTACCCTTACCCCTTCTTCTCTATAAAAATCAATAAAAACATCCTCAAGTGAGGATTAAATTTTTAAAAAATTTAAAACAAAGTAGGTGCCTGCCCTCAAAATATGAGGGTGGGTGGGAAAAAGCTAGATATGCCTTTGCCCTCAAAGTCTACTGGAAAAGATAAGACTAATTTATTTAAATAAAGACAAGGCAGACTGTGATAAGAATATAGAAGTATAAAGTTCTACTGGGATGTACAGGGGAGTTTAATTATGACTGGGGAGTTTTTAAGATCTGAAGATAGCATTTGAGTAAGTTCTTTAAGTTAATAAGTTACTGGGCACTTTTTATATTCCCAGCATTGTTCTAAGCCTTTTGCTTGTATTATCTTTTTAAAAATATATATTTTATTGACTTTTTACAGAAAGGAAGGAGGAGGTATAGAGAGAAACATCAATAAGAGAGAAACATTGATCAAATGCCTCCTGCATACCTCCTACTGGGCATGTGCCTGCAACAAGCGTACATGCCCTTGACCAGAATTGAACTTGGGACCCTTCAGTCCACAGACGGATGAGCCAAACTGGTTAGGGTTACTTGTATTATCTTACTCAACCCTTACAGAACCCTGTGAAGTCACACTATTACCACCTCTATTTGAAGACAAGGAAATTCTGACACGTAGAGATTTAGCTAGTAACTAATGAACTCAGATTTCATTGATGGGCTGTCTTGATGTCAAAGCTTGTGTTCTTAATTACTATGCAATGGCATCTTACCAGACTGAGTAAAAGGGGTTAGGCACGAAAGCTCCACAAAAGTAAGTATTTGACAGTCACCTTTTACAACTTTAGGCTTAAATCACTTAAATTTTTCTAAATATATGGAACAAGTTTGTTGATTTTCATTGAGAACCCTATTATCTCATGCTATAATAGTGATGTTCTCAGGCAGTTAAGGGGGGGAATATTATTGTGAATGGCATCAGATGTTTTATGGTACTTCCATCTTCTTGCTAGTCTGGATGGCCAAACAGCGAAACGACCTTCTGGGATGAAACAGGCTATGAGGGCCTAGCCCCTTGCATGAATTTCTAAATAACTGCTTAACTAGTGTCCCCCAGTTTTAATGACTACTTTGCTAGTCAAACTTGTTAATGAGTACCTAATTTAATCAGAATCTGAAGGTGATACAAACAAGTTTATGGACTTTTAATGAAGGTTGTTGAAAATGTGAGTTATAAATGAATGTAGTCAGATTCAACTTTTAATAAATTATAACATATACTTGTAATGTTCTCTACAGGGTATGGACAGTGGTTTTGCAGGTGGAGAAGATGAAATTTACAATGTTTATGATCAAGCCTGGAGAGGTGGTAAAGACATGGCCCAGAATATTTACAGGCCCAGTAAAAATCTGGATAAGGATATGTATGGTGATGATCTAGAAGCCAGAATAAAGACCAACAGGTACCAAGCGAACAGTTCATTTTCAAAGTTTGTGTGAGTGTAAGCGAGGTAGTTTATAATTTGGTTCTTTCTCTTTTTCCCTAGATTTGTTCCCGATAAGGAGTTTTCTGGTTCAGACCGTAGGCAAAGAGGTCGAGAAGGACCAGTTCAGTTTGAGGAAGATCCTTTTGGTTTGGACAAGTTTTTGGAAGAAGCCAAACAGCACGGTGGCTCTAAAAGACCCTCAGATAGCAGCCGCCCCAAGGAACATGAGCATGAAGGCAAGAAAAGGAGGAAGGAATAGATACACCTCTTCACAGTGAATGGACTGTTACCCCTAACCCTAATGATGCAAGTCATATGGGTAAACATTTTGTACATGGGCCAGATAAAAACCAAATCTGGGTGTCAGATCCCAGCACTACTTTTTATTACAGCAGAAAGGAGGGGGGGGAGGGGATGGAAAATTCTACTTTGAACTATTTAGTTTTTTTAAAGAGTGGGTTGTGTTTGTGCTTCTCCCACCTTTTGGCATTTATAGAACATACTGCCCCATAAATGAAATTAAGATCACTTCCTTTTATGTGACATTAGAACTTTGGGGTTAATATTTTGTGAAAGAATGGCTAGTTATGAGTAAAGTTAACCCAACTACAGTGAGTAGAAGGATGTTCACCTGTTGGAACTGTCCAGCCAAATGACGTATGCCCCTATTGTGCTGTTTTAATTTGGAGGGGGGAAAAGTAAGCGCTTGCTTGGTGCACCTATTTGTTTCAAATAAAAACATTTACACAAAATTTTCAGTTTTGTTCCTTTATTTAGTAGGTAGTAGTAGTAGTAAAATTCTTACTCTTCATCAGATGTTTGATCTTGTAAAACTTTTGGTCTCTGAGCTTGAACATGGAGCTGAAAAAAATCAAGTAAGCACTGTAAAGATAAAGCCAATGTCCGCAAAAACATTAAAACTGAAAATTAACCCCTTAAGACTGGCTTTTTATTAGGAAGTCAGCACCAATAAGTCAAGAGGATGTTCTTTGTAAAACTCACTAAATTTCAATTAAAAATTATAAATCAGCCCGGGTTCAGTTGGTGGACTGATACATCAGGAGGTCAATCAGTTCAATTCCCAATCGGCACATGCCCAGGTTGCGGGCTCAGTTCCCAGTAGAGGGCATGCAGGAAGCAGCCAATTCATGTTTCTATATCTCTCTCCCTCTTCCTTCCTCTCTATGCAATCTATAAAAACATTTAGAAAAAAATAGTAAATCAGTCTGACCCAAGGCCACATAAGTGGAAAAGCCAGGATTTCATCCCCTGATAATTAGGCTGCTGTTTCCACTGCTCGGTGTTACATATGCTTGCTACCCATTACCAGGTCAGTCTTCCTTTACTTCCCTCCCCAGACCTTTAGAACTAGGCACTCTACCACCACTGCCATTCTTTAAAAGATTGCCCCAACTCCCTGTCATTTCACACTTCTGACCTATTTAATTGATATACAGTAAGTACATGATATATAGAAAGACACTTACTTTTACTCCATCAATAACATGACTGTCACGTTGTAGTGCAGTCTGAAGTTCTTCTTCTGAAGAAAAGTAAATCCAACCCATACCTTTGTGAAAGCCAGTCTCTCTGTCCTAAAAATTCAAAATTTAAGAAAATAATCATGAACTTGAGAAAGTTTCTATAAGCTCCAAATCAAACTACCAATGTTTTATTTTCCAAAATGGGATAACAGACATTTTAATGAATGTCAAAAACCTTGCTTTAGCCCAGCCCCTGTGGCTCAGTGGCTGAGCATCAATCCAGGAACCAAGAGGTCATTGGTTTGATTTCAGGTCTGGGCACATGCCTGGGTTGCAGGCTAGACCACCAGTAGGGGTGTGCAGGAGGCAGCCAATGGATGGTTCTTCCTTTTTTTAAAAAAATATATTTTATTGATTCTTTACAGAGAAGAAGAGAGAGGGATAGAGAGATAGAAACATCGATGAGAGAGAATCATCGGCCAGCTGCCTCTTGCACACCCCCTACTGGGGATGTGCCCGCAACCAAGGTACATGCCCTTGACTGGAATTGAACCCGGGACCCTTCAGTCCGCAGGCCGACGCTCTATCCACTGAGCCAAACCGGTTTCGGCTGGATGGTTCTTTCTAATCATTGACGTTTCTCTCCCTCTCTGAAACCAATTTAAAAAAAAAAAAAAAGAACAGAGCCGAGACCGGTTTGGCTCAATGGATAGAGCGTCGGCTTGGGGACTGAAAGGTCCCGGGTTCGATTCCGGACAAGGGCATGTACCTTGGTTGCGGGCATATCCCCAGTGGGGGGTGTGCAAGAGGCAGCTGGTCGATGACTCTCTCTCATCGATGTTTCTATCTCTCTATCTCTCTCCCTTCCTCTCTGTATAAAATCAATAAAATATATATTTTTTTAAAAACAGGAAAAAAGAAAACCTTTCCTTTAATGCATATTCACTCTCCTAGTTACCCAAAGCTTAATTCCTATGTTAATCTTAATATTCTCTGCTTTTTTGCTACCATTGGAGAAGTAAAATATAAGAATGAGCTTCCTGTGCCATTCTAGAAACAAACCACAGTAACAATAGTAATCAAGGGAAATTCCAATCACAAAAAGAAGTACTCTCCCTGTTTCTAACTTCCTCACTTCTAGAAACAAAATTTAAACTTCAGAATCTTGGTAATATTTCTGGTAATTTCTGAGACTAATCACCCTCATCACTACCACTACCATTATCACCTGCTAAAAACAATTAATTCTAGAAAGCTCAACAGAAAAATACAGCCCAGAATTAAGTAAAACAAATTATAGATTTCTAAACCACCATGAGAAAGCAATGGGAATGTAATAAATATGAAAAGTTTAAAATGCACCCAATTTAATGAGGATAAATGTTAAAATAGATATTCTCCACCAATTAGATTTGTGGTTTTTTAAAAATATATTTTATTGATTTTTTACAGAGAGGAAGGGAGAGGGATGGAGAACTGGAAACATGGATCAGCTGCCTCCCGCAACACACCCTACTGGGGATGTACTGGGGATTGACTGGAATTGAACCTGGGACCCTTCAGTTCGCAGATCAACGCTCTATCCACAGAGCCAAACCAGTTAGGACTCCACCAATTAGTTTTATAATAAACTATCCTCTATTATCTCATTATCATAATACTGTAGCAGGCAGAATTCTAAGATGGCCCCATGATCCCCTTGTTACTCCCTGAATAATCCCCTCTGGTGGTGGTGGTGGTGGTGGTGTGGGGGGTGGGGAGGAATGCAATAAAGACCTGTGCTGCTATTCTAACTAAAAGAATACATGACAACAGTGATGGGATGCTGCTCCCTTGATCAGATTATATGCCAACGGTGATGGAGTGTCAATCTGTGACTATATTACACTGAAGAAACTCCCTTGCTGACTTTGAAAAGCAAGCTGCCATCCTGGGAAATACCCACAAAGAAGCCAGGAAACAAAAAAACTGCAGCTAGTCCCTAGGATCTGAGAGCAGCCTCCAGCTGAAAGTCAACAAGAAAGCAAAAGCTCAGTCCCACCATTGGAAGACAACAACTGCCAAAATCTGTAGGAGCTTGGAAATCCATCTTCCCCAGTTGAGCCTCTGATGAGACCAGAGCCCCGGCTGACAGGTTGCAGTTATATAGCCACTCAAGAGAGGAATCAGCTAGACTGTGCCCAGAATCCTGATTTGCAACAATAAAAAACTAGCACAAATGCCCAGGATATTGGGGGGGGGGGGGGGGGGGGGGGGGCTTTTAGCTTTTTAATTAGTATCACCCAAAATTTATCATCAAAGATTAAACAGCTTCTCTCCATTATCATACAGATAAGTAAGTTGACATGCTTTGACAAAAACAAGAAACAGGAATTAAAGAGTAACATTAATTCTTAAAAAACAAAAACAAAAACCCACAAAACTTACAAAAGGTAGAATGCACTTTCTTATATGGCCAAATTGTGCAAAATGTTCTCTCAGCTCACCTGTATAGGAAGAGAAAACAATAATAGTTAATACAAAATGCATCCTCCACCCTAGATTGTAGATAGAAAGCAAACTTATGTACAGGAGCTACCTGTATCTGGGATTTATTTACCTTCTACAATTGAAACTTTGTTTTTGGTTTTTTTTTTAAATATATTTTATTGATTTTGTACAGAGAGGAAAGGAGAGAGATAGAGAGTTAGAAACATTGACGAGAGAGAGCCATCGATCAGCTGCCTCTTGCACACCCCCTACTGGGATATGCCCGCAACCAAGGTACATGCCCTTGACCGGAATCGAACCTGGGACCTTTCAGTTCCCAAGCCGACGCTCTATCCACTGAGCCAAACCAGTTTCGGCTACAATTGAAACTTTGTAGCCCAGAATGGAGCCAAGCCTCCTGCTCGCTCCATGGCAGCAGCCATTTCTGTTGGGATTTATTCATCTTCTATAATTGAAACTTTGTAGCCTTAAGTGGAGGCCAAGACAGGGACTGGGCTGCAGAAGCTTGACTTTCTCCATCGTCAGGGAAACCCAAGCCTCCCTCCTGCTCGCTCACTGGCCGCAGCCATATTGGTTGGGGTTAATTTGCATACCTGATTGGCTGGTGGGTATAGCGGAGTGATGGTTAAATTGCATATTACTCTTTTATTAAATAGGATTTCAGACAGAAAAAGAGAAAGAAACAACAATGATGTGAATCATTGATGGGCTGTCTCCTGCACACCCTACAGTGGGGATGGAGCATGAAACTGGGGCATTTGCTCTGACTGGGAATCCAACTGTGACTTCCTCATTCATAGGTTGACCTTAATCACTGAACCATGCAGGCCAGGCTCCTGGAAGGTTTTAAATCCCCCATTAGTGTGGAATCTCAAATTTGCAAGATGCTAAAGAAACCCCTGAGCCTTTCTACAGTTTCACAGGGCCTACTGGGTTTGGTCTTTACCCACAGCATACTCAGAAGGAGACACAAATTGATCTACTTCCCATCCTACTATCATACTTGGACTACAAAAAATAAGAGAAGTTATCCCTGTTCTATTGTTTAAGGGAACTGATTCGACCCATGGATTATCCACAAAAATGACTGTAAGCAAATGTAAAATTTTAAATCATAAAAACGTAAATTGTAAAACTGTTTACCAAAATTTTGATAAGCAAAGGTAAAAACCTTATCTCAAAACTGCAGCCGACACTGACAAAAACAATGTTGGTGAGAGAGTTCAGTATTGATTACTCCCAACCCTCTATCTCCAGCCTATGCCTTTCCCATGAGCTTCAATTTTAGTAATCATGAAAATAACCACCGTTTATTGAGTATTTACTCTATCTTTAGCACAAGTTTAAGCAGTTTACATATGAACTCCTTTACAATGGTATGAGGACAATCCTGACTCCATTTTATAGGAGATGAAATTGAAGCAATACACAACCTCCTCTGTTCAACACATTTAAACATCTCTTTTTGAATTGCTTCTACATTCTTAACCACTAAATTTACTAACGTTAAAACTTGGAAGCCATTCCTCCTTTTCCCTCATTAGGTGTGCTACTTACTGCCTACCAAGACATCACGAGCCCTACCCGGTTTGGCTCAGTGGATAGAGCCTCGGCCTGCGGACTGAGGGGTCCCAGGTTCGATTCCGGTCAAGGGCATGTACTTGTACTTCGGCTGCGGGCGCATCCCCAGTGGGAGGTGTGCAAAGAGGCAGCTGATCAATGTTTCTCTCTATCCCTCTCCTTTCCTCTGTAAAAAATCAATAAAATAATTTTTTTAAAAAAAAGATATCACGAAAAGCTGTGTATTTTGTTTTGTTAGCAGAAATGATCTGACCTCCCTTCTTCTACTACCCTAGTTCAGCTCCTCATCTTTGAGCAAAATTATTGAAGTTGCCTTTTAGTTCGTCTCCTCTCCTCCAATCTCGCCACTTGGAATTCATCCCCCCAACACCGCAATCAAATGAAGCCCTTCTAAATGGTAAATCTTTAAGTTTCCGAGTGAACAGCCTTTTCACCAAATCACCCCGAAGGAGAGGAGATCGTGAACGCGCGCTCCAAAAGCTCAAGGGACCTTCCTAAGCGGTTCCTGGCAAACGTTTCCTTCTGCTCCTTGGTGAGCACAGCCGCAAACCCAGCCTCCTAATGGAGCCCCCGCGCTGACTCGCGCGCTCCGCAGAAAGCAGAGCCCCTGAGGATCGCCTGGACCTAAACATCCCGCCCCGCTACGTCTCCATCACTCACTCGAAGAGGCGGTCCAGGGGATTTTCCTGATAAACGCAACGGGCCGGCCGGTATGGGCCCGCAGAGCCAGGGCAGCCCTCGCTGCGGACGCCGCCATCTTTAGCTTGAGGGACCTCGGAGACCTGAGGTCGCGACCCCGGAAGAACCTGCCGCACCCAGTGCACGTGAATCTGCTTCCGGGGCAGAGGAGGCCTGGGCAGCGAGATGGGGAAGATGGCGGCGGCTTTGGGCTCCGTGGCTACGCTAGCGACAGAGCCTGCGGAGGACGCCTTTCGGAAGCTTTTCCGCTTCTACCGGCAGAGCCGCCCGGGGACCGCAGACCTGGGAGGGGTCATCGACTTCTCGGCGGCCCAGGCAGCCCGCGGCCCGGGGCCCGCGGCCCACAAGGTACGGAGAGGAGCGGCGCGCCTCCCCGAGGTCCCGCCTCGCTTCCCGGAGGGCTGTCACTGCCCTCCCCGTCACTTTTCGCTCCCACACTGGCTGTCATGGAGCGACCCCCGCCCTCCGCGCGCACGGAGGTGAACTGCCCACGATGAAGAGCTCTGCAGCTGGTTTGCAAACTGGTTTGCATATGCCCAGGTTGCAAACTCAATCCCCACGTGGCCCTTCGTGGCAGTGTCCTCTGTCAAAAAATGTCTGGGAATTTGTATTAATTCCTTCCATTAACTGTCCACTTGTATTTCTGCTTCGATTTGTGAAAAAAGAAAAGAAAGAAAAAAAGTAAACCGTATTCGTAGACGTTAGGGTAGCGTTCAACAGTTTTTAAAAAGCCAGCTACCCGAATAATCCCAGGACTGATAGGGATCGCTCTTGTCCATAAAACTGATACCGGTCTTGTCTGAGCCTCCTAGAAAGAAGGCATTCAGAGGTAATTCAGAGATAATCTCTCCAAGTTGAAAGTGAAGGGATAACGAATTTAAGCATCATCCATTATTTCTGCCTTTGGGCGGGGCGCAGGGTACACAGGGAGAACCACAACGGCAGTGTAATATATATTTTCTTTATTGATTAAGGTATTACACTGTTTTTATTTCTCCATTGCTGCCCCCTGTACATTTTCTTTACAGTTACTTTAACACTTGAGGATACCTGATCCTTAATTTGCCCTAGGTATTTTCCACAGATGGCTGGGTGAGGCATTCTTTCCAAGCCTAGTAATAGTTCTCAATAAAATTGGAATGCCACGATACCACCATATTTGTCTGGAAGTTGGCTTCTTAAGAAGCTTCACTTGTTAGCAGAAATGGTCTTAGAGTTGTCAGAACAACCCAGAAAGTCTGCTCGCCTGTAATAATACAGTTGATTCATGGGAGAATCCCTCAGACCCTTATTCAGCTACTTTTGCCCAAAACTTGACCATAATACATACTTTTAGAATTAAGTCACCTGAGAAGGAGAAGTTGTGTGTAGCATAAAACAGTAAGTATTCTATAAATACACTATTGAGTAATAAAAACTTTGTTATTTAGTTACCCAGCTCAAAACATTGAAAGTAGCAACTTAGAGAAGAAAGTTACTGTTAAAAGACACCTAATGAGAGCAGTGGAGGAAGTGATGGCAACAGTTTGGCGTGGGGGGGAGGGCACAACAGAAAATCTCTTTTTAAAAGCTCGGATTGTGCTAGCCAGTTTGGCTCAGTGGATGGAATGTTGACCTATGTACTGAAGGGTCCCGGTTCCATTTGGTCAAGGACTCATGCCCCGGTTGCAAACTCAATCCCCAATAGGGGGCCTGCAAAAGGAAGCCAATCAATGATACATCATTGATGTTTCTATCTCTTTCATGCGCGCGCTCGCGCGCTCTCTCTCTCTCTCTCTCTCTCTCTCTCTCTCTCTCTCTCTCTCTCTGAAATCAATAAAAAATATATTTAAATAAATAAAAGAATACATATTGTACTTTTAACAAACAGGGTTCCTAATGTTTTATTGATGGATTGTATGATTTGATTACTCTCTTTCCATTCTCTCACCCTCCCCAGCCTAGTGTTCCTCATAGCTCTGTTTAAACACCAACTGAAGCCCTAGCTGGTTTGGCTCAGTGGATAGAGCATCAGCCTGAGGACTGAAGGATCCTTGGTTTGATTCCAGTCAAGGGCACATGCCTAGGCTCAATCCCCACCAGGGGGCGTGCAGCAGGCAGCCAATCAATGATTCTCATTGATGTTTCTATCTCTCCCTCTTCCTTTCCTCTCTGAAATCAATAAAAATAAACACCAACTGTGTACAAATGCCTCAGAAGCATTATTATTAGCCCTAACAGAAGTAAACAGCATTGTGTCTGGGGATATTTCAGTACACCAAACACCAGAGTCCTAAAAGAAATCACAAAGGTATGATATCGAAAAGGTATTTAAGGCAAAAGTCAGCCTGCTTCCCATTATTAACTTAATTTTACGTAGCTCTCTAGTGGCTAGTATATGGATTAGGAAACAGGCTCTAAGAAGTGACTTATCTAAGTCTTACTAAGTAATGGGACTAAGTTTAGGATCCCAGACTTATGACTCCTAACTTTGCCCCATAGCAGAAATATCTTTAGGGCTTTGAAGTTCTCAGGTTTGATCTGTAAAATAACTTTAGCCCTCTGACTTGTTTCCTTCCTGCCAGGTGGTCAGAACTCAGCTGAGTGTGTCCTCAGTCAGTGACCACGATGCACACAGAGCAGGACTTCAGCCAGTCAGCAATTGGCGAGCTTATGGACTCGAAGGCTATCCTGGTGAGTACAGGTGATCTACAAGGTGAATTCAATATTTTATCTAATTTTAGTAGAGGAGCTAGTAAATAGACAAAAGAAGAACAGCAAACACACAGAAATGTTCCACTCTCCAAACCCTCCTAAATTCTGCCTCATCTAAGATTTCCATTTATGTAGCACCCCTAAAGTACAGAACAGGAGTCACTAGTGCTGCTTATACAGCACAGTAAGTACAAATGAAAAATATGACAGTGACTCCGGGCTCCCTGCTGCATCTCTGAATACCCATCTACTCTGGCAGTAGAACCACTTGGAGTGATAGAATAATTAATAATGGTCACTCCGGACTGGCTGGCATGGCTCTGTGGTTGAGTGTCATCCTATGAACCAGGGGTCAGGCCACATGCTGATATTGCGGGCTGGATCCATAGTGTGGAGTGTTCAGAAGGCAGCCATCATTGAGTCTCTCATCATTGATGTTTCTATCTCTCTCTTCCTCTGAAATGAATAAAAATATATTTTAAAAAATAAAAATGGTCACTCCAGTCACAAAATCCCTGTATTCTCAAATGACTTAACAACAACAAAAATTATTGGCATCATCAAGACTGAACATTTGAAAAAATTACAGTAATAAGATCAAAAATCCTAAAATGTTAGTGATATTGGATAGCTCACTTTGCAGATAAAGTAATAAGATTATTATTAAGAACTATTCAGAAGTTATGGCAATGTTTTATTTGGCCAAGTAATCTTACATTTGTCACCTGGTTTCTTTCTAGAGGACATACTCGTAAAGTTATCATTGCACTTGTGATTTCAAATATGGATTAAAAGCAAGTGATACCCCTAAAAAGAAATAATAATTTGTGTGCTAAGGGCCAGGTCTATATTACAGCTTTTAAAATAGTATGACCACTAAAGTATTTGTTAACAAGAGAAGGTGTAATAGCTTTTTAAAAAATTGGGATTTTGAGAGAGAGACATCTGTGTGAAAGAGGAACATTGATTGATCAGTTGCCTCCCTCACATGCCCCAACCAGGAACCGAACTCACAACGTAGGTATATGCCCTGACCAGGAATCAAACCCACTACATTTCAGTGTATAGGAAAATGCCCCAACCAACTAAGCCACACTTGCCAGGGCTGGAAGGTGTACAGCTTCAATACATCCTATAAAAGGCCTTATGAACTTTAGTTTTGTATTAAAGAACTGAAGATGATCTTATGACTGAAGTCACCGAGGAAACAATCAAATGGCCTTTATATATATGAAAGCATTGCTCCCCATGAGTTTAGGTAAACGAGCAGGCATCACCATCAGTCTTTTAATCACTTCGTTCTTGAAGGCTGCCCTGTACCTTTCAGACCTAGCTCCTGTATTCAACGCCATGTTTCTGTAATTGTGCCTTCTTCCCTTAACAAATTGTTCAGGCTACAAGATTGTCAATCCTACTTTGGTTTTCTTTTCTCCAAATTGATGTCTTTGGTTTTCTAAGATTTTACACTTAAGCGACATCATTTAAGTTGGTACTTATGGTAAATGTGTCCCTGGAGTCTTTATTCTGATTTCCTAGCCATTATAAGCTGCATTTAATAGAATTATAACGTCCAAAACAGGGGAGGTGACAGTCTCTTCTTACTTTGACTTGATTGGAAGGATTGTATTTACTGTGGATTCTGTTTATTCTGAAGGAGCCTAGGCGTACCACATCTTGTCCTTATGAGAGTGAGCAGGAAGATGATGGGTCTGAAGACCAGAAACTGAATCTGGGGACAAGTAGACTTGAGGGGGAACATGATAGTGTTGAACATTTTAAAAAGTTGTGCATAAGTGGGGATGGAAAATAGTGCATACTAGTGGTTAGAGCTTAGGTTCTGACACCATACTATCTTAAATTATCTAGTACTATATAACCTTGGGCAAATTTCTTAATCTCTTGGCCTCAGCTTCCTCATATATACAATGTGTAAAAATACTACCCACTTTATAAGATTATAATGGGGATTAAATATGAGTATCCTAGTAAAGTGTTAGGTCAATGCCTGGCACATAGTAAATAGTCATTAAATGTTAGCTATAAAGCTTGAAACATTAATCAAGAAGAATTAAAAGCTAATGTGGGCCCTAACTGGTTTGGCTCAATGGATAGAATGTCTGCCTGCGGACTCAAGGGTCCCAGGTTCGATTCTGGTCAAGGGCATAAACCTTGGTTGTGGGCACATCCTCAGTAGGGGGTGTGCAGGAGGCAGCTAATCAATGTTTCTAACTCTCCATCTGTCTACTTTCCTCTCTGTAAAAAAAAAGCTAATGAAGGCTTGCTCTGTGTGTCAGAACCTAAGGCCAATTCATGAAAATTTGAAAGAGCCAAATTTTAACTCAGTGAAAGGATAACAGCAGTTGTCTGAAATGGACTGCTTGAAAAGGTATTAAATTTCCTGTCACTATTTAGACTTAGACTAGGACAGGGTATTCTTACTTTAACCTCATATTTGCTGACCGGGTGGATGTCGAGCTGGTAGTGGTGTAATCTTTTTATTTATTTTTATTTTATTATTATTTTTAATATACATATATTTTAATATTTTATTGATTTTATTTTTTTTTACAGAGAGGAAGGGAGAGGGATAGAGAGTCAGAAACATCGATGAGAGAGAAACATAGATCAGCTTCCTCCTGCACACCCCACACTGGGGATGTGCCCACAACCAAGGTACGTGCTCTTGACTAGAATCAAACCTGGGACCTTTCAGTCTTCAGGCTGACGCTCTATCCACTGAGCCAAACTGGTTAGGTCTATTTTTTAAAATATATTTTATTGATTTTTTTTTCCCCTCCCCCCTGATTTTTTTTTTTTTTTTTTTTTTTTACAGAGAGGAAAAGAGAGGGATAGAGAGTTAGAAACATCGATGGGAGAGAATCATTGATCAGCTGCCTCTTGTACACCCCCTACTGGGGATGTGCCCGCAACTAAGGTACATGCCCTTGACTGGAATCGAGCCTTGGATCTTTCAGTCCACAGCCCGATGCTCTATCCACTGAGCCAAACCGGTTTCAACTAATCTTTTCTTTTTAAATGGTAATAGCATGTAGTAGATTATTGGGGAGTTTTATACCTTCCCCCCCCCCCAAAAAAAAAATAGTTCTGTCATTCTCCTAAATTATTTGGGTAATTTTACTAGTACATGAAATACAAAAATAACCTCCACATTTATAAGCAAGTATTCTCATTCCTGTCATCCAACTTTAGAGAAAGAAGAGTTCCTTCAACTCAGCCAGTCCCTTCACCTCTGACCCCACCATCTTTTACTTCCTCCGGCTTTCCAGACCTTGCTCTGTTCCTTTCCTCACCTCATTTAATCAATTCTCAACTGGCTCTTTCCTCACAAACTATAAGCATGCTTCAGTCTTTTTAAACCCTAAAAACCATAATCTCTCCCCTTATTTCTTTATTCTTCTTTGATTACTCCTCAGCCTTTGTTTCTTTTTTCAACCAGGCTTTTAAAAGATATCTGGTCAGAGGGGAGGGGGGTTAAGGGGCTCAGTCAAAAAGGTGCAGGGATTAAGCAAAAAAAAATAAAATTTATTCATAGACTCAGACAACAGTTTGGTGATTTGTGCCTCAGTAGCACAGCCAAGGGTTCAGCAAGCCTGAAGGAGGGCAGCGGAGGATGTAGAAAAGACAGACAAAGAGAATAAGTTGGGTCTAGGTGGACCTCCTAGCTGAGGCCACAGAACAGATCCAGATGGCAAGCTGAGCCTTTATTTTATAGTCAGTGGTAAACAAGGTAGTGGTCACCATAGTTACAATGTTCTTATGAGTTTCACTTGTTTTGGCAGCACTTGCTGCACCTCCCACAGCCCATTAGTGATCCAGGATGGATCTAGGGAATGTCATAAGGTCAAGATTAATTATGCTAAGAGGGCTGTGCCCTCTAAGCTGGGACTTGTTTTTGGCTTTGCCAGCAGGTCAATCTGAGGCTTAACCGTATAACTAACTGCTCCCTACAGAAGGAAAAGGGGGTTGGGGAGAGGTAGAACAGGGGAGAGCAGGGAAAGATGGTAATGGAAGGAGACTTGACTTGAGGTAGTAAACACAATACAGTATACAGATGACATATTGCAGAATTGTGCACCTGAAATCTATATAATTTTATTAACCAATGTCACTCCAATAAATTCAGTTAAAAACTAAAATTATTATCTGTGTACATATTTTAACATTGCCCCCTGCCCATACATAGATAATAATTTAATTTTTTTTAAAAACTAAAATTAAAAAATAAATAAGACATTATCTGTATAACTCTCTATTGTCCTATATCCAGGTATTTCATGAAGGATAAAATTTTTCAACTCTTAAGTTCTTAAGAAAGTGCACAGTGTGTGACTGTTGAATGCTTGATGAATAAATCCTTGCCATGCATAGGATTCTAGTTAAATGTTGTTATTGCCAAAACCGGTTTGGCTAGGTGGATAGAGCATCGGCCTGCGGACTGAAAGGTCCCAGGTTCGATTCCGGTCAAGGGCATGTACCTTGGTTGCGGGCACATCCCTAGTAAAGAGTGTTCAGGAGACAGCTGATCAATGATTCTCTTTCATCGATGTTTCTGACTCTATCCCTCTTCCTTCCTCTCTGTAAAAAATCAATTAAAATATTTTTTTAAATGTTGTTATTGCTCTTTTACAAAGGAGAAAAGTGAGGTGAAATTACTTTTAAGGTCATAAGAATCTTTTCAGCATGCTGTAGGTATTTGCATCGTGCCATACCTAACAGATGTACATACCATATTCCTTCCCTGCTATATTAGTCAGGAGGCAGAAATCATACCAATTATTATAACCGTGATAATTTATAGACTAAGTAGCCAGAAAATAGAAAATGGAAAGGGCAAAAGGGCACACTGAAATATCAAAGGTAGTAACTGCAGGAAGCAGCCACCTCTGTAGATGGTGACACCGGGTGAAAATTTAAGGGAATACTTTTGGCAGTTTCGATTCTAAAATTTGCTTTGGGGTAACACAAATAATAATTATGGGATGTTTTTTCCCTTGAGAGTAATCCCAAAAGCCAAAGGTATTTACATAGTGGTAAATGGCTAGTGATCATCAAACTTAATTTTTTACTAACCTGAAGGAATTCCTCTTACTGTAAAATTGGAGAATAGGAATGAAAACATTTGCTTATATGCATGGAAGCCACTGGAAGCATTGAGCAAAGGAAAATGGAAAGTAAATAGTAAAGTAGAGGGTATAAGGAAGTCAACAGAAATAAACTATATGAATAACTGATGGAGAATTTCCTCCTCTCCTTTCTTTCCCACCCATCTTTTATTAGGTTTTATTTTCATCCCAAACCCCTTCCTCCCGGGTTACCAGTGGCACTGGGTGAAGCAATGCCTTAAGTTATATTCCCAGAAACCTAATGTATGTAACCTGGACAAACACATGACTAAAGAAGAGACCCAAGATCTATGGGAACAGAGCAAGGAGTTTCTCAGGTAGGTTTTATCAGTCACAATAAAATGTTAGCATTCAGCTCAAGTCATCACAGATCTTTATCAATTTTTTAAAAATATATTTTATTGATTTTGTACAGAGAGGAAGGGAGAGAGATAGAGAGTTAGAAACATCGATGAGAGAGAGTCATCGATCAGCTGCCTCTTGCACACCCGCTACTGGGGATATGCCCGCAACCAAGGTACATGCCCTTGACCGGAATCGAACCCGGGACCTTTCAGTCCCCAAACTGACGCTCTATCCATTGAGCCAAACCGGTTTCGGCCATCACAGTTCTTTAAAGGAACCGTTTTATAACAATGCAGTGAAAGTAACTGGCCTGTTTATTTTTCCCTCATTTCTACACAAATGCAGCACATTTTTTGTTTTTTAAATATATTTATTGATTTTTTTACAGAGAGGAAGAGAGAGGGATAGAGAGGTAGAAACATCGATGACAAAGAATCATCGATCAGCCTGCCTCTTGTACACCCCACACTGGGGATGTGCCTGCAACCAAGGTACATACCCTTGACCGGAATCGAACCTGGGACCTTTCAGTCCGCAGGCCGACGCTCTATCCACTGAGCCTAATCGGTTTTGGCAAATGCAGCAAAATTAAATTCTTCCCTCTGGAACATTTGGGCAGATGTTTTGACAATTATATTAAATTGAGATCCATTTCAAAGATTTGCTTATCATAGCTTAGGTATCAAGTTCATCCTCAATAATCACCAGATAATCCATTTTCATTCACTTTCGGCCCTTTTTCCTACTTAAAGTGTGTTTCTGTGAAGACTGGTATCCTGGCAAACAGTGACTCTGAAAGCTCTTTATTTCTTCTCTCCTAGACAAAGTCAATTCTAGCAGCTGTTTTATGGCAGATCAGTTGTTTTTCATGAGAACTAATGTTTATACCTTAATGTTGTTTCAACATTCATTCATTTCACAAATATTTCTTGTGGGTCAGTCATGTACCAGGCATGATGCTGAACATTGGTGAAACAAAGATAAGTAGGCCACTATCCCTGTACTCAGGAGTGCATAGTCTGTGGCAGGAACTCAATATGAACAGGAATAATTATAATAGAGCTCAGCAAGAAAAATGATGTGGGGGCCAGAAGAAGAAATAATTCTTCAACCAGGAAGGAAGTGTGAAAGAATTTAAAAATTATGTTTATAGTTCATTGTCATTTTTTTCCCCTGTCTATTTAAACTGGGTCTTCAAAAATGACTAGGAATTTGGCCAGTCCGAAAAACACTGTTTTGCCGGAACCGGTTTGGTTCAGTGGTAGAGCGTCGGTCTGCGGACTGAAAGGTCCCAGGTTCAATTCCCGTCAAGGGCATGTACCTTGATGGTGGGCACATCCCCGGTAGGGGGTGTGCAAGAGGCAACTGGTCGATGTTTCTCTCTCATCGACGTTTCTAGCTCTCTATCTCTCTCCCTACCTCTCTGTAAAAAATTAATAAAATATATATATTTTTTAAAAACAAAAACAAAAAAACACTGTTTTGAGTAGAGAAAGCAGCCTTCAAAAAGAGGTAATATTTAATACAGAGTAAGTTCTGTGAGTTAGGAGCGCAGGATGTGTGCATTTATTCAACAATTACTGAGTTTCTGCTACGTATCAAATACTGTGTTTAAGTGTTAAAGATTCAAAGACAGATAAGACACTTCCTGCCTTTCAGGAATTTGTAGGTTAGTCAAGGGCAGATATATATATATATATATATATATATATATATATATATATACACACACACACACACATATACATACATATATATATATATATATATATATGTATGCATGCCAAGCAACTTGAATGACTGGTCACTATAATACTGTGGCCAGCCAACCAGCTCCATTGGGGGCAGGGCCAGCCTGCCAACTTCCTGCAGCCCCTCTCCTCAGCCTGCCCAGCCCCAGCTGCCCCAATCAAGGCGGGCGGACTGGATCCCACCCATACACGAATTCATGCACCAGGCCTCCAATAACCATATAATGTAATTTGGCAAGTACAGGAATCCTATGTAATAAAAAGTTAATATGGAAATCAACCACACAACAGAATAACTGGTTGCTATGATGCGCACTGACCACCAGAGGGCAGATGCTCAATGCAGGAGTGTCCCCTCGGACTTAAGCCCGCAAGCAATCATCCCTCTCGCAATCTGGGGCTCTTGTAGTCTGGGACCCTTTGCTCCTTACTGCCTGCCTAAGCAGATGCAGGAGAGTTTCTGCCACTGCTGCTGTGCTCACCAGCCATGATCTTGGCTTCTGGCTGAGCAGCGCTCCCCTTATGGGTGCTCACTGACCACCAGGAGGCAGCTCCTACGTTGAGCGCCTGCCCCCTGGTGGTCAGTGCGCATCACAGCGACTGGTCATTCTGATGTTCAGTTGATTTATATATCAGGTTTTTATTATATAGGATGACTAAAGGCCCAGTGCATGAAATTGTGCGTGTGTAGCTTGCCTCTGCTTGCTGCTGCTCACTGCCCCGCCACAAGCCACCGCAGGGAGCCACAAGTAGCCCTGCCTGCCGCCATGAGCTGTAGCTCACGGGCTGGGACAGTGTGTGGTTCAAGAGGTAGTTAATGCACTTCATGGCAACTGGTCGAGTGGTCATTCTGGTCATTGTGCTTATGGTCCCTGGCCTTGTATTATACAGGGTTACTAGAAGCCCGGTACACAACATTTGTGCATGTGGGGGAAGGATCCCTCAGCCCTGCCTATACCCTCTTCAGTCAGGGACTCCTCAGGGGATGTCTAACTGCTGGTTTAGGCTCGATCCTACAGTTGAACTTCTCTCTCAATCCTGAACCACTGGCTTCTAACTGGCCCTCTGTCAGCCTGGTCACCCCCCAACTGCCTCCCTGCCAGCCTGGTCACCCCCAACTGCCTCCCTGCCAGCCTGGTTGCCCCCCAACTGCCCTGCCGACCTAGTCGCCCCCTAACTGTCCAGAGGAAGTTGATCATACGGAAAATGTCCAGTCACCCTGTCTAATTAGCATATTACCCTTTTATTAGTATAGATTGGAATGGCAAATTAGGAAGCTAGATTGGAAGTAGATTATGGAAAATGCTTTCTAGAAGTCATGAATAGACTTGGCAAGAGGAGAAGCAGAAAGAGAAGGTTAAGACCAGATTATAATGGGCTTAGTGCTTTCTAGAATCAGATTGCCTACATTCAAATCCTGGTTCTGCCATTTAAACATTTTGTAAACTTGAGCAAGTTTCTTTTTTGTTTTGTTTTAATAATTCTTTATTGTTGAAAGTATTACATTTGTCCTCCCTTTTCCCCCATTGACCTGCTCCAGCCTCCCCCTGCCCTCCTGTCCAGGCCTTCAGCATCTTATTGTCTGTGCTATGGGTTATGCATATATGCATACAAGTCTTTGGTTGATCATCTCCCTCCCCACCCTTCTACCTGCCTTCCCTCTAAGACTCCTCTCTCTGTTCCATTGGGCAAGTTTCTTAACTTTTCTGTGCCTCATAATAATCCTTTCCTCATTTGATAATGTGAGAATTAAATAAGATAGTATGTGAGAAGTCTAGAACAGCCTCTTAAGACTTTACCAGTTTTGTCTGTTCTATATGTAGTTTCATGGTTCAAATGGTGCAGTTTGAGTGAAATTAATCAAAGAGAGCTTAGAGTTTGTTATTAAACCAGTCTGTGTTTTCAAATAATTGGGGTTTTTTCCTTGTGATAACAATTCCAGTTGTCTTCTTCTAAAGTAGGTCAGACAAATCTCTTTAATAAACCATCCTGTAAACAATAGTGAGATAGTAATTTTGTCTAATAAATTATAAAAAAAAATAAAAGATGTTATAGCCATACCTTCTATTGTCAAGGGTGGAAAAAACTGATATGCTCAGATATTGCTGACAGCACTAAAAGTAGATTAGGGCCTGAGTTCTTCCATCACTGCCTAATAATGTGTTTTTTTCCTCAACTGGGAAACAAAAGGATTGCACTGGATAAGCTATTTAAGGTAGTAGAATCATGGTCAGTTAGGGTACATGCCAGCTGGACAGTAGTGCCAGCTTTCCCCGCATTCCCAGAGAGCATCAGAAAGAGAGAGGGTCTGTGATTTGCATTCCTATGTGTGGATATGGCAGCTCTATTGGCATTGAACCTTCTTGGCCTCCTTGTGTTTTATTTATTTATTTATGTTTACAGTAGAGGCCCAATGCAGAAAATTCATGCGAGAGTAGGTCTTCCTTACCCAGGCTTCTAGTACCAGCTTCCCTCTGGCACCAGGGACCCCAGCTTTCCTTGCAGCCCCAGCTTCGTCCAGAAGGTCATCCAAAAGGACATCTAGTCTAATTAGCATATTATGCTTTTATTATTATAGATTGCTTTCAGAGAGAGGAAAGGAGAGAGAATGATAGAAACATCAATGATGAGAGAATAAGCTGCCTCCTGCACACCCGCTACTAGGGATAGAGCCCTCAATGTGGGCATGTGCCCTCACTGCGAATCAAACTGATAACTTCCTGGTTCATGGGTCAATGCTCAATCATTGAGCCACACTGGCCAGGTGTTTTTTAATATTATATTCTTGGTCAACTCACTTATCTGTTCTAATTTCCCCTATCAATATCTTGGATAACAGCTTATTCCATAGAATACCAAATTTAGATTCTAGGGTCCATACAAACGGCTGTTGTTGCCATTTACTGTGACTATATCCTAATAAATTCTTTGTGTCTAATTTTTGCAGAAACAAAGAAGTGAATAAACGGAGACCCCGAAGCTTACTTGAGAAACTGCGGTGGGTGACCCTAGGCTACCATTATAACTGGGACAGTAAGGTATCCAAATTTTTTTTTTGCTAATTCTACTATTTTCCTTTTTTATGCTTCTTGGGCACACATAGTGGGCTTTCTTCCTAGCCAAGCTTACAATATCATATCTATTTTCAGAAGCATCTCTCTTATTTATTTCCTCTTAAAATCCCCTTGATATAGTATCTCAAGAGATATGAATAATGTATCAAGAGAAAATTTCTTTTTCATTTGCACTCATTATGGTATTTTATCAAAGACTATCAGTGTTTTCTCTAAGTAGGTTTCAAGAATGTCAGGGATTTTTTTATACTGTACTCAAGAGCAGTTGTTAATTATGTTCTTTATTTCCATTGTTTATTGTTGAGCATTTTCTATATAATATCTTCCTGGAATAAAAGCGGATCCATATACTTCTGGTGTTCTCATCAATTTACAAAAGGACTTTCAGAATCTAAATACCACTGCTTGCTACATAAGGTCTGAGCAGGAGAGAGATGGGGAAAGAATGTCCTAAAATTAACAAAGACTCATGGTTATTTGTTTTTGCTTTGTTTTGTTTTGTTTGAGGTACAGGTTTGTTTTGTTTTTTTCTGTACCTCTGTGCTTCAGAGAATGCCTCCTTTATCAGTGGCAGCACAGTTTCTCTTATTTAAATGAGATATTTGCAACCAAGTAAAAAGATTAATTCTGAGAGTAAACTGAATAAAACAGAGTGGAGTAGACCACCTTGCTTCTACCAGTTACTTTCTAAAAGCTCTATAGTTTCAGTCAACCCAGCTTATTAACAAGTATATTAACTGATCAAAATAATGATGTGTTGCCCCAAAATGTTTATGATATGACTCTTATTTTTAGTGATGCCAAGTAATGGAAAACTAAATAACTGTATTTGGGGAAGTGGCCATGTGATTTTCTTAAGGTTAGACAACCTGGGTTTGAATTATGTCTTCAACAAGGATAATACCTGCCTTGATGGTAGTTGTGATAATTAAATAATGCCTTCGTAGTGATTACAATAAATGCTAGCAGATTGTTTTTTATATTATTTTTATTGTTGACATTGTTATCCTCCAAGAGCCTCAAAGTGGGCCTCATTTACTAAGAAAAACATGGAGGGAAAATTATCAAAAACTGAGTTATCAAAGAAAAAAGAATAGTGCATAGACAGCTTGGAAAGGGTTCAAAGTTCAAAAGTAATTATTTCATTATAGCATAGGTGATGTAGTGCTAGAAGAGCATGATTTATTCATCCATATTTTGGGGCATCCAGTAATCTAATAATTCAAAATATGGATGACTGAATCATATTATGCTAATGTTACATGTAATCGGGATGATTTTTTAAGTGATAATTAATCTTACAGCAGTTGTCTACTTTCCTGAGATCATTATTTATTTTTTTTATTTTCCCTACTTTTATTAAAGAAATACTCAGCAGATCATTATACACCTTTCCCTTCTGACCTGGCTTTCCTCTCAGAGCAAGTAGCTGCTGCCTGTGGATTTCAGGGTTTCCGAGCTGAAGCAGGTATCCTGAATTACTACCGATTAGATTCTACACTGGGAATTCACGTGGACAAATCTGAACTAGATCACTCCAAACCCCTGTTGTCATTCAGGTAAGTTAGTTCTGGGGATTTGATATTACGTTTTATCACCTCACTCCATTTTTAAAAGCATTTTGAACTGAAATAAAATAAAACCATCAAACAAAAAAATGGCTGGACTCTATAATCTTTCACTTCTGTATATTTTAACAATGCATCATAAGTAAAACTAGCTTAATCCTTTAAGAATCATGGCTAGCCAAAACCGGTTTGGCTCAGTGGTAGAGCGTTGGTCTGCGGACTGAAAGGTCCCGGGTTCGATTCCGGTCAAGGGCATGTACCTTGGTTGTGGGCACATCCCCAGTGGGGGGTGTGCAAGAGGCAGCTGGTCGATGTTTCTCTCTCATTGACGTTTCTAGCTCTCTATCTCTCTCCCTTCCTCTCTGTAAAAACTCAATAAAATATATTTTTAAAAAAAGAATCATGGCCAAATTACAGTTAATATTTCTGTTTAAGCCTTAACCGGTTTAGCACAGTGGATAAAGTGTCGACCTGTGAAATGAAGGGTCCCAGGTTCAATTCCAGTCAAAGGCATATACCTTAGTGTCAGGCATATTCTCAGTAGGGGGTGCAGGAGGCAGCTGATCAATGTTTCTCTCTCATCGATGTTTCTAACTCTCCCTCTCCCTTCCTCTCTGTAAAAAAATCAATAATTTTTATTTATTTATTTTTTTTTTTTTAAGAGAGAGGGAGAGATTCATCAGATTGCCTACATGGAGTCTGCCTTTTTTTAATGACAGATATTGTGTCAGTGGAATAGACAAAGGGAAGGCCATACAGCTAAGTCAGTATCTGTTTTGGAAGAGAGAAGAGCAAAGCACAAAAGCCTGAACAGTTTACTTCTCTTGTCTCCCTAAGCATAACTTTAAATTTGTGCAAAGTACTGCCCCTGATTCTTTTTAAGAAAGTGGCTGAACAGAATTTTTTAAAAATATATTTTATTGATTTTTTTACAGAGAAGAAGGGAGAGGAAAGAGAGAAACATCCACCCAGTTCCCACCCCACCCCTGCACTGTCCTCATCCATAGGTGTACAGGTTTTTTTTCCCACTTTTTTTTTTTTTTTAGTTTTTTATTAAATTATTATTTGTGTACATATACCATTGCCCCTCCCTTCCCATAGTTTTGTGTCCATTGGTTGTACTTATATGCATCTATACAAGTCCTTCGGTTGATCTCTTATCTTCCCCAGATCTCCCTCCCCTCCCCGCTGTAATTTGACAGTCGGCTTGTTGCTTGGTGTACGATTTTGTCCAGTCTTTTTCCCCCGAGAATTGTCAGTCCACTCCCTTTCTATCCCCCAGATTCTTATATTCACCAGTTTATTCTGTACATCTGAATTTTTATTGACTTGATTTTTAGATATACTTGTTGATAGATATATATTTGTTGTTCATAATTTTTCCTCTTCTTCCTCTTCTTAAAGAATACCCTTCAGCATTTCATATAATACTGGTTTGGCAGTGATGAACTCCTTTAGCTTTTTCTTATCTGTGAAGCTCTTTATCTGCTCTTCAATTCTAAATGATAGCTTTGCTGGGTAGAGTAATCTTGGTTGTAGGTTCTTGCTATTCATCACTTTGAATATTTCTTGCCACTCCAGTCTGGCCTGCATAGTTTTTGTTGAGAAATCAGCTGATAGTCGTATGGATACTCCCTGGTAAGTAACTAACTTTTCCTCTTCCTTTTTTTAATATTCTCTCTTTGTCTTTTGCTGTTGGCATTTTAATTATGGTGTGTCTTGGTGTGGTACAGTGAACTTTATTGATGGTGCACGACAGACAAAGTAGGGCTTCCTACACCCCTCCCCTTCTTCGGGGGGTCTGGGGTGTAAAGGGTGGTCAGGAAGTTCTCAGTGTGTCAGGGGACTGATCCGGGGCAAGGACTCCTCAGTCCTTTCCTCTTGCTGGGGCTGCTGGTCCAGAGAGCTCTTATTCCTTGGAGGCCATGTAGACCATGAGGTCCACCACCCTGTTGCTGTAGCCAAATTCATTGTCATACCAGGAAACGAGCTTTACAAAGTGGTCATTGAGGGCAATGCCAGCCATCAAAGGTGGAGAGTCGGTGTCACTGTTAAAGTCGCAGGAGACAACCTGGTCCTCAGTGTAGCCCAGGATGCCCTTTAGGGGGCCCTCTGCTGCCTGCTTCACCACCTTCTTGATATCATCGTATTTGGCAGCTTTCTCCAAGCAGCAGGTCAGATCCACAACTAACACATTGGGGGTGGGGATATGGAAGGCCATGCTAGTGAGCTTCCCATTCAGCTCAGGGATGACCTTGCCCACAGCCTTGGCAGTGCCAGTAGAAGCAGGGATGATGTTCTGGGCAGCCCCTCGGCTATCACATCACAGCTTCCCAGAAGGGCCATCCACAGTCTTCTGGGTGGCAGTGATGACATGGACCGTGGTCATGAGTCCATTCACGATGCCAAAGTTGTCATGGATGACCTTGGCCAGGGGGGCCAAGCAGTTGGTGGTGCAGGAGGCATTGCTGACAGTCTTGAGGGAGTTGTCATACTTCTCATGGTTCACACCCATCACAAACATGGGGCATCCGCAGAAGGGGCAGAGATGATGATCCTCTTGGCTCCGCCCTTCAAATGAGCCCCAGCCTTCTCCATGGTAGTGAAGACTCCGGTGGACTCCACAACATACCAGCATCACCCCATTTAATGTTGGCAGGATCTAGCTCCTGGAAGACAGTGATGGGCTTTCCATTGATGACAAGCTTCCCGTTCTCAGCCTTGACGGTGCCTTTGAGCTTGCCCTGAGTAGAATCATACTGGAACAAGTAGACCATGTAGTTGAGGTCAATGAAGGGGTCATTGATGGCGACAACTTGCACTTTGCCAGATTCCATAGCAGTCCTGGTAACCAGGTGCCCAATGCGGCCAAATCCGTTCACTCCGACATTCACCATCATGTCTCAGGGTTGTGGCTGCTGGCACGGTGCAGGAGGAGAGGCTGTCTGTCGAACAGGAGGAGCAGAGAGCCTGTTTTTAATATATTTTATTGATTTTTTACAGAGAGGAAGGGAGAGAGAAGGATAGTTAGAAACATCGATGAGAGAATCATCGATCAGCTAGCTGCCTCTTGCACACCCCCTACTGGGGATGTGCCCGCAACCAAGGTACATGCCCTTGACTGGAATCGAACCCAGGACCTTTCAGTCCACAGGCGGACGCTCTATCCACTGAGCCAAACCGGTTTCGGCAAGATTCTTCCTCTTTTTATGATTATTGGATTTACCCCCAAAAAGAAAGATTTACGATTAATCAGTATCAAGTTGAAATTATGCAATTAACCATAATTTTCCCTATATGATTAGTAACAGAAACTTACTGACTTGTATTGTTTTTCTTATTTTTTTGTAGCTTCGGGCAGTCTGCCATTTTTCTCCTGGGTGGCCTCAAAAGAGATGAAGCCCCCACAGCCATGTTTATGCACAGCGGTGACATCATGGTAATGTCAGGTTTCAGCCGCCTGTTGAACCATGCAGTTCCAAAGGTCCTTCCAAGTTCCGAGGGGGAAAGTCTGCCCTGCTGCCTAGAAACACCTCCCCCAGCTGTCCTCCCCAGGGACTCGGTGGTAGAGTGCTGCTCCAGGGAAGACTGGCAGGTGTGTGCCAGCTACTTGAAAACTGCTCGTGTTAACATGACTGTCCGACAGGTACTGGCCATAGACCAGGGCTTCCCTTTGGAACCCATGGAGGAGAATAAGAGAGGCATCGCCACAGAAGGTTTCTGCCATCTGGATGACGGGAAGAGCCACATAAAGCGAGCGAGGTTAAACCCTGACAGCTGAGACTTGGAGGGGCCATTCTTTTTCTTAGGCAGATTTTAGTGTAGATGACCATGCTGTTGTATGCATTGACTTCAGCACCGAGACAAGCCAAAAACAGAGACAAGGAAGAACTCATCTTGATCACGCTGTTGCCTTGGAACCCATTCTGACTAGTAAACTAACTTCACATACATGCCGGCCTAACCAGGACTGGACCAGACATGTATGTGAGACGTCCAAGGAGGTGTGACATTCCACAGTGGCCTTCTCAGCCCTGCCATTACCTCTGAGGGAGGTAGAAGTGAGTTTCCATGTCCGTGGAGTCTTTAAATATCTCACATTTTATTGATGGGAAACCTAATAGCCCTTCTACCACCCCATCTAGTGATTTTATGATAAAATGATTGTTCCATGAATCAACCATTAGTCTCACTTCATTCTTCCAATTAACATAAAATCTTTTGATCTTCCATCTTTTCTGGCCTTCTTGCTGTTGGATTTTAAATACAATTTTGTTAGATTTAAAAAGTCCAAGGATTACCTGTAACACTTTTCTCCGTGATTAAACTTACTCAATTTTAAATTAAAGATCTGTATCTGTCTTTGAGGGTTAGTGTGTCTGGGGTTAGTTTTTTTCTATTTCTAATTGCTGTATTATTCTTACTTTTGAGGCTTCCTAGCTGTTGAAGCCCTACCAAGCATGCCAAGCTCACAGCTGGTGGACCACATGCCTCATTTAAGAGTTTGACATGCTTGCACTAACCTGCTCTGCCCTAAGTATTTCTTGCAGCTGTCTCAGAGGAAAGAATATTCCTTGGTGTCCCAGTCACTGCTGTCTTTTTTTTATTGGCAGACAACTTTGAAAATACATGGAACAGTGAGTTTTAATCTCTGTATCCTCACCAACTCAACTCACTATATCCTAAGCTAAATTGCTATACATTTCTTTTTTTTTTTTTTTTTAATATATTTTATTGATTTTTTACAGAGAGGAAGGGAGAGAACTAGAAATTTCAATGAGAAACATCGACTAGCTGCCTCTTGCGCACCCCCTACCGGGGATGTGCCCGCAACCAATGTACATGCCCTTGGCCGGAATCGAACCTGGGACCTGAGCCAAACCGACTTCGGCAAATTGCTGTACATTTCTTTGGACCACAGCATTTTACCAGTGTTAATGTGTGTAGTGTGCATATGCACAGAAAAGGCTAGAAGGTCTTTAATGCATATTTTATATATATATATATATATATATTCCAAATTCTGTATAGTGAGCATAAATTACTCTTAAAAAAGACCTTTGTGGTTTGGTTTGGTTTGGTTTTGTGGGTGGGTTTTTTGTTTTTTGTTGTTTTTTTTAATGTATTTTTTATTGATTTTAGAGAGGAAGGGAGAGGGAAAGAGATAGAAGCATCATGTGAGGAATCACTGGTTGGCTGCTTCCTGCACACCCCACATGGGAGATCAAGCCCACAACCCAGGCATGTGTCCTGACCGGGACTCAAACCGTGACCTCCTGGTTCATAGGTTGATGCTCAACCACTGAGCCATGCTTTTGTGATGTTTTGAAGTAAGGCACACACTGAGCTCAGCAACAGCATCTTTGTAAAGTGCCCACCCACCTTTCCATATATGCTCTCATCAGTTTTGTTCCCGTCTTGAGTCCCTTTCAGTCTGATCTTTCAATTGCTTTAAAATATGTCAGGCTAAGATGGATCCTCTCACCCCTCTTGCTTATTATCTCAGAGCCTCTTGCCTGTTTCTAGCACCCAACATCTGGTTTTTCCTAGAAGGGTCCCAGGCCCTCAGTGAGACATGGATGTACTGCTGAACGGGACAGGTTCGGCAGGACTTGGTTCCCCATGTTCTAATATTTCCAGTTCCCTTTTCACAAAAAATAAGCTGGTCTTATCCTTTTCTCTTTTTTCCTAATCTTAAGAGGTTGCTGATTAGAGTGGGGGGAAAATAAAACCCTAATACCATAAGTGGATTCGACTAAGGCAAATTACAATGGTAATGAGGCAGAAAGGAGCGGGGAATGATTATTGATCTCAGCGTGACGGGCGAGGAGCTAGGCAGGAAAGCCGCCTCACCTGTTTTCTTCTGTTTCAAAGGTTACAGTGGGGAAAATGCAATGCAATTCTATTTTCTTGCTTGGGTAATAAATTTTTATTGATATTCCTTTTGATCAACTATCCTATCCAAATATGAGCCCTCATGAGGCAGAGTTTGTTAGATCTCAATTTGTTTTATTGGTAAAAACAGAGTTCTTAATAAAATAAAATGATACTGTTGATGGAAAATGAAATAGAGTGTTATCAGGAAAACTAAGTTTTAATAATATCCCCAATGCTTACCTGTGTACCTGGAATAAGTCACTCAACTGAGGCTCAGTTGACCTTTTCTGAGCCACAATTACGATTCTTAAGACCCAGTTTGCTTCTATAAGGAGGTTTTACCAAGTAATCCTGTATTAGGTACCAGCTCTGCAGTGCTATCATTCTAAAATGAGAAATTAATCTCAAGAGTTTGGATAAACAGCAAACAAAGCTACCCCCTAGGCAAGATTTTTTATAAGGAAATCAAAGGATAGGAAAGGAAAACAAAAGGAAGTTTTTAGGAAAACTACACAAATACCCAATAAACGTGAAAAGATGCTAAACTCACTAGTAGTTAGGGAAATATACATTAAAGTATGAAATGCAAATTTGTACCCATTTATTTTGCAAAATTAAACTACAATCTCTCAACGCCTCTTAGCACATCCTGTTTCTATTCGCCTCACTTGTTACTGCACTGGCCCAAGCCACTATAATCCCTCAACTACATTATTGCAATACCCTCCTAACAGACTTATTCCATGCTTGTCTCCACTGCCTACTCTCATGCTTTAACTCAGCAGCCAGAATGAGTCTGTTAACACCTAAGACAGATCATGTCACTTGTGCTTAAAATTTTCTAATGTCACTCCTCAGTCTGAGTTGAAGACATAAAGTCCTTTCAGTTGCTTGCAAGTCCCTACCCAATCTAACCACCCTTACCCCACCCTATCCCCACCGTTCAAGCCACGCTTCCCCCTTGCTGCACCTCTGAACAGGCCTAGAACATTCCTAGCCAAGCCTCTGCACTAGGCTGTTTGTTTCCTTTATCTAGAATACTCCAAGATTTGAACTCAACTCCCTCAAGGAAGCTCAATATTGACTATTCCAAATCTTAGTCCCACTGGCATTCCTAATTTATTATATTTTTTCCATAATATTTATGACAAAATTCTACTTAAGTGATAAAATAAGAAAAGAATGCTTTTTTAAATTTTATTATTTTTTTTTCATATTTTATTGATTTTTTTTTTTGCCCCATTCCCTCCCTCACACATATCCCTTCCCTCCCCAGAGTTTTATGTCCATTGGTTGTACTTATATGCATGTATACAAGTCCTTGGGTTGACTTATTATCTCCCCCAGACCCTCCTCCCCTCCCCGCTTTAATTTGACAATCTGCTTGTTGCTTTACTGTCTCTATATCTATCTTTTGGTTCATCAGTTTATAATGATCTTTATTAACCACAAATGAGTGGGGTCATGTGGTGTTTCTCTTTCATTGATTGGCTTATTTCACTCAGCATGATGTGATATGTAATACTTTTAATAATAATAAAATTTATTATTAAAAGTATTACATATGTCCCCTTAGAAAATTATGCTTTTTAAGAGAATATGATAAATGACAATTAGTGTTTTCTACCAGGCTATATATATATAGGTGCCACAAGGGAGAGATGTGTGCTAGTTTTCTAGAACAGTGCCTGGCACATAGTAGTTGCTCACTACATATTTGTTGAATGGATGGATGTCCAGTGATGGTGGGATATGTGAAAATGGGCACTTGTTCACTACTGTGAGAATGTAAATTGATAAAGCTATTTGGAATGTAAATTTATAAAACTATTATCAGTGTTTATCTAAATTTTGACCCAGGGATTTTAGGTATTTTTCATATGGAAATGCCTAAACAGGGACACAATGAAATGTGTAAAAAGGTGTTTATTATCATGTTGTTCATAATAGTGGAAAACTGGAAACAACCCAAATTTTAACAGTAGGAAAAGAGTTATTTGAATTATGTTCTTCATTCTATGGAGCATTAATACAATGCAGCCCTTTACAAGAATGTACTGACATGAAAAGGGCTCCAAGAGGCACTGGTTATTGAAAAACATGAAATGCAAAATTATATTTATAATGTAAAAACTATGTAAAACGATTATGTAAGTAAAAAAAAACTAATAGGTAAAAACTAAACAAGACTATTTTCTGAATATGCACATACATATTTATAAGTACATGGTTGGAAGGATACATCCAAATGTAATAGTTGGAAGAAGAGAGATTGGGAGGTGGTAGAAAGACTTTTTATTCTTGATGCTTTTGTGTTGTGTGATATTTTTATAAGAACATATTTATACATTACAGAAATGTTTTAATTATGCATAGAAAATCCTATAAATAATCATATTCTGCCCTAACCAGTTTGGCTCAATGGATAGAGTGTTGGCCTGAGGACTCAAGGGTCCCGAGTTTGATTCTGATCAAGGGCATGTACCTTGGTTGTGGGCACATCCCTGGTAGGGAGTGTGCAGGAGGAAACTGATGTTTCTCTCATCGATGTTTCTAACTCTCTGTCCCTCTCCCTTCCTCTCTGTGAAAAATCAATAATATATATATATATATATATATTTTTTTTTTTAAAGAATCATATCCTATATAATAAAAGGCTAATATGCAAATAGACTAAATGGTCAAGCAACCAGTCACTATGACATGCACTGACCACCAGGGGCAAGTGCGGAACATAGTGAGCGTAGGCTGCGAGGGGATGGTGAGCTGGGAAGAGCAGGGGTGGAGGTGGGGCTGCCAGACCAAGCAGGCTGCCAGTCGCTGTCATCAGGGTGAGCCTTTGGTGGTTACTGAAAATTCTTTGCTCCTGCGCACCACTGTCCTGCCATCCCTGGGCGCTTACAC